CGGGCTCTAAGTAGGGAGCTCGGGCCTCTTGCTAGGGAATCCGAGCTCTAAGTGGGGAGTTCGGGCCTCGGGCCTCTTGCTAGGGAGTTCGAGCTCTAGGTAGGGATCTCGGGCCTGCTGGTCCCTTGGGCGTTTGTGCCCTCGGTATGGTCTTGAGTTCCGAGCTGCTTGCCTTTTTTGCCACGTGCCGTGATTTGCGAGGTCGGGCCAAATCTTCCTTCATCAGTATGCAAAAGTTTGTTTCCATTTTTGGAGCAAACTTAGCCCCCATTTTGAATGAAAAAATGACAGAAAAAGAAAAACTTACTTTCATTTTCAGCACAGACATATTCTTACTAAACGACTGCAAAACTAAACCGGAGTACAAATTAGCCTTAATTCTGCATTTGCACTCTTACCAAACACAGCCTACATCTTCCTGCTTCTTGCACAACATTTACATGCTAGGTAACTGGAATCCCCTTGCTTCAGTCTTTTAGATAATTCAATGTAAGAATACAGTCCAAAGATTATAGCCACATGAACATCTATAATAGTAGGATGTAATGAATTTCCCCAAAGTCATTAATTTCGACCTGCCTATCTAATTATAAATTAAGAATCATAGAAGAATTTAACAATGATGTTTGCACCCACACATTACCATTTTGTATCTGCCTTACAATTGTAGTTGGCCTTCGTGCTTTCTAATATAGAGAAAAATAGCACACATTCTCCCAATTCCCTATCAAGTAATGGTTGCCTTGAAGTAGGACATAAAACAATCTGCTTATCCCTTTTCTAAAACATTGACTAACAGTTTCAGAACAAAATTTATGTTATCCTCGACAAATCTCTTACCAAGCATTCCTTCCCCACACCATTCATCTTTCCAAAACCTCACCCTACTACCATTACCCACCACAAATTTCATGAATCTTGCAATTCTGATGCTTTTTACAACCATGAATGCAATTTGAAGGTAGTCAACATTGATAACTTTTTTCCTCATTCTAAACAGTAAAAACTGTAGTTTTAGGGGTGGGAGGAACTAAAAATCTGAATGATAGATTGTTACAAGAAAAAAGAAGGGAAAAAAGCTGATAGTAAAAAGAAAATAGGAAAAATTCGAAAATGGATAAGAAGCAATACCTTTGTTGTACCATAATATTGAACTATATTCTCATGCTCAAACTGACTTAAAAGGGCAACCTCCTGAAGCAATAAGCAGGGAATTAGATAAAAATCCAATGTTACATATTGATAAAAAAAACATAACCTAAATAATGGTCCCAGCCATCTGAAGTCTTGGGAAGGGTGAACAGGATACAGACCTAGCCTTTGGCTTTTTTACCCAAAGTGGCCACTCTCAAACTCGAGAATGCATTCTCATGCTTGTTAAACCCAAGTTTTAAAAATTAAACCAAGAAATGTTCTATGTTAAAGTTAAGTATCAAATAAATGGAGTCTACTATGTGACCCCGAGTCCAAGAGAAGTCAAACAAATTTACCAACACATGGTTTGAAGTGAAAAAAAGAACTGGGCAAAAACTTTTCTTCTTTAATAAGTTGGTACATCACACTCTAACCTGCTCAAGTTGATAAAGGCTTTGATTTCCCTGGTTTCCTTGATCAAGCAAAATTTCTTTAACAGCTATAAAGAATCCATCACTACAAGGAAAATTTACGATAGTGCATTAGCAATGATCAAGTTCAAATCTATATTAATAAGATCAAGTAAGTATTTTGCCCTTTCACCATAATCAATCATATCTCAGTCTGCAATACTATATATAGGCAAATGGTTTTGTAGTTGGGCCTAGTAGGAACCTCTCCTACACGACATACATTTTCCCTGACAAATGGAGTAATGATGCGATATATGATATATCCAAGTTGTCCATTGGATCAGGGACTATCTGGGTCGGCTACACTGAATTGGATTCTTTTCTGAATGATACAACAAAAATTCAATAATTTAATCTAAAAAAAATCTACAAATAATGGCCTATCTTGGTCAAACTCCCCCTTAAATAAAACGGAAAAGTACAGACAGGCCCAATGCAGATTTCTGATTTCCACTACAGAGATATATACATTCAAAATGTCAACAACCCACACTCTATGCACCAATCCCCACCCATGAATTGGCATCAATTCTGAGCTGGCACCTACCCCAACAGTACTTTGGGCCTACAAATTCTGGCCCTGGGCTGAACCGTCATTCTCCCTAAAGAAAATGGGGGCAAGTTAGAAGATATGGATATTTTGGTCACATAAAATCCAGACATTCAAAAGCACATTCAGACTTTTTTAAGTACTAGTTATATGCGGGCAGTTTTGTGAATGGTTATAAGTGGCCAGTTTCTGAAGTGAGAGTAAAGGATATATATGCCCTGATGCCCTCTTTATGCCCGCTGTATGCTTAGACAAAAGGGGTAGAAAATGTCTAGTAAAAATTCCAGAAAAAAGGGCATTTGCTCTTTTATAAACAGTATAGATAGATTATAGTTATAGCAGACCTCCTTGGTTTTAATATTAGATTCAAAAAATGCATAGCAGTGTTTCATGGGGTGTGAAGCGCCAAGATAAATGTTTAGCACCAAGAACATCTCAGTCAGGGGTTCGACTACGATATGGAAAAGATATGATATATAGGAAAAACAATTGACCAATAAATTGGAATCATAAACGTGGTAGCGAATCAGGTGTCATCTATCAAAATTCATAGATTTTCCCCTCAGTAAGAACTATTTCAGAGAACATGAGCAATCCGGTGAACCAAGGACAGGAAGACACATGAAAGTAGTAAGAAATATACCGCAGCCTAACAGACGGACTGACAGAGAATTAAGCATTGTACTTACTCAGCGATCCCTTCATAGACAGTTCCGAAAGAACCACTACCGAGAAGTTCGCCCCGTTGCCACGACATGATGGTACGTCTGGTTCTTAGAGCAGGCGAAATATTATTAGAAGTGGGATCAGTGGTCGTGCTGGAGGAATCGTCATCGTTTGACGTCGTAAACGAACAAGACTCAGATAAACCAGTAGTATCACTCAGTCTCTTCACATGTTCTACTAATTTGGCATCAACTGTCACAACACCCTCATCATCTTCTTCAGATGTTGCATCATCCTTCTCTTCATCAGAGGAGCTCGTTTCTACAAGACTTGACAGTGAAGGACCTCTATCATCAGGTGCAAAAGAGTTAAAAATATCCCAAGTTGACGCAGACTTCATATGATCAACCTTTTGCGACATGGCCGGTGGAGGAGCAAGCACCGGAGGTCGAACCCCCTTAATTCCTCCACCTCCCACACCACCGCCGCCGGGAGAACCATGAGAGCCCAAGGGAACTGAATGCCGGCTGTTAAACAGAGGAGCACTAATCGAACGATCTTCCGTCGATCGATGCAAAGCTTCATCACTAACTTTAACCCTAGTAGACAACCTAATCGGCGAGCCATCTTCCCTCTCTTCTCCCGCTACTGCAGGAGGAGGAACCGAACTATCTTGCATCGACCGGTCGACAGCTTCATTATTAACTCTAACCCTAGCTCTAAACCTAGCCGACAAATCATCTTCCCTCTCTTCTTCCTGTATTTCAGGAGGAACCGAACGAACTGAACGAACCGAACGACCTTTCCTCGACCGATCCACAGCTTCATTGCTAGCTCTAACCCTAGCTGAAACCCTGATTGACCTGCCATCTTCCCTCTCTTCTTCTTCTACTTCAGGAGGAGGTTCTGAGCGAACTGAACGAAATGAACGATCTCCCGTCGACCGGTCCGCATCTTCATCACTAGCTCTAAGCCGATCAGGGGGCCGAAGCCACGAACCATCTTCCCTCTCTTTTTCCTCTTCATCAGCTGGTTCCACTGGCCTCTCATTTACATCAACCACAAACTTACTCAATCGAGACCTTGGCAAGACATCGGACGAGCACCTGGCCTTCCGGGCCTCCCACGCGGCCGTCGGAATCGCGAAGTCATCCGGACCGGAAAGCCCCAAACTCCGACAGAGTTCGTTGATCTCTTCGGCGCCTTCAACTCGGAAGCTAGTCTTGTTACTGATAGAGCCAACGTCGAGTGAGCGACTAGCGCGCAGAGTGGGGGAGAGATCACCGGGAGGCGACGAAGAACTGCCAAAGGGATCGTAGTCGATGTTCTTCACGGCGTTCCTCCGTTCCAGCTTCGGTTTCTGTCGGCTGGGGTTCCGGTCCATCGACTCCTCGTCCTTCTTACTACGGCTACCAAACAATCGAGGTAAGCGATGCATCGGTGACTCCCGCTGTTCTCGATCCCGGCGAGAGCCGAAGAGCACGCGCCATTACCCGAACGACACTTCTCTGACAACCTTTTATCGCTTCTCTCTCCTCTGTATGTGCAACGTTGGATTCTCGTCCTTTTTCTCGAGGTTTAATTTGTATTTTTGATGTGCAGTACGGACGTCCTTATGTAAGGTCTAGATTAAAGAACCATTAGATTTAAAACGTGGGTTTAAAACGTTTGATGAGATTCGGATCTAACGATGTGACCGGAGAACGTATGTGAGGATGAAGTATGGGTGTGGTAAAAAAGGATGACCTTGACTTGAAGCCAAAAAAGGTTCAAAGAGGGACTCAGCGTGGACTAGTAAACGCCGTCGAAGGAGAGAGAAAAAAACGCGGTGCTACGAGGAAATATCATCATTGGACGATGCATGAACTCGTACAGTACAGACACTAGTTACACATCCATGACCGCAAGAAAGGAATAATGTGTGGGACCCAGATATTTGATACTTCTCCCTAATTAATATGAATGTATTGTATGATCCGGGGCGTCTGACAGTAAACGCGTGTGACTAGCATATCATATCGTCATCCGTTCATCAATGCTGAAAGAGATGTAATCATGTAAATTGCAAGTAACATTTTTCAGTAATCCAAGATTCCCTTTTAGCTCGTATACCAGTTGTTTACTTGATGCCCACGTGGAAGATTCTCTTTGGGCCAGTTGATCAATAAACCAATAATCTAGAATTGGAATCAGCCCCAGAACATATTCCCGCCGTGTATTGGAAAATGGAAACATTTCATCATTTCATCAGTTGTGGATGGCGCCCCCTGTGGAGGGCTGATTTGAATTCAATAATATAGGAAAGGTGGGCCGTTATGGGCCCTCTCTCCCAAACCCAACAGAAAGAAAACAAGAAGATTAGCTGTATGTGATGTGAATCGTGCTTTTTTTATGGGACCTTGTTTGTCTCGCTGAATTAGAGATTGGGTCATTGGGTTGGGTTGGTTGTTGGTAGGGATGGACCCTTAATTGAAGATGTACTGGTTTGTTTTGACTTTTGTCGGTGGACCAAAAAATAAATCACTTTAAGTAAAAGTCTTGACAACTGGACTGGACCAGCTTGAATGGTTAAACCCAATCTACCCATCGACATTAAAAGTGGTCAATCAACCCTTTTCGTTGTCATACAAGGACAAGGACAATAGAGGGAATGGGATTGAGTTCGAATCTGCGCCCCACTGGCTTTCGCCCCACACCCGCTGTATGCACCATCTGTCCCTTCGCACGATTCCACGCAATAGCGCGTGCGGGGCTAATGGGACGTCCGTTAGCCCCCTCCATTACCCCCAAAACTCTCCTTTTCTCTCCATTTCATTCGAAAGGCTGAGTTAGGGTATTCTCTTCTCACCTCATCAGTCCGAGTTCTCCCTCTCGAGTTCCTGACCCCGATTCCAAGTTTCTTCTCCGGCACCGGCAACTTACTTCGACAACCGGCGGTACCCTCCAGCCCACCTTTTCACCTCATTTTTTATTTTTCTTTTTTAAGACCATTAGATTTCTTTTTGATCAAAACTAGTGGATTTCTCTCTCTGATGTTATCACTTGATTGGTTCATCTGCTAATTTGGTTTAGAGTTTTTTATTCATTATGGTTTTCTAAATGGTGTTTGATAGTCATGCATAATGTATTTGGGTTTCATTTTGGAGTAGACACCACCGAATGTTTAAGGAGAATAAAAACGATTTCATATTTTTGATCTCAAAGTTACTTTTGTTTCTATTTTTCTAATACTTTCCTGTAATAACTAATAACTCAAAAACTCATTTTGAGATGATAGATTTATCTATTTGAAGACAATGGGAAACTATAATTGAAAATAATTTAGTATGATTACCTGAGACCCTGTTGTTGGTCTGGTCAAGATTTAAAAACTCAAATGATTGTGTTTTCCTACTCTGATGTCCAATAGGTGAGGTAAAGCAAAATCTGTAAATCTTGAGAAATCCACTAGTTTTGATCAAAAAGAAATCTAATGGCCTTGTTTGTTAACTGCTGTAAACTATAAATAATCCAATTAAATCGTGTATGAAACAACCTCTAAATAGCATAACTGTAGGGTTTTTTTTTTTTATCAACCTATGGGGAAATGTGGGTAGAGTTATTGTGAGTAGCAGATCTGGATAGAGCTTATACACAGTCCGGAACCCACCTCAAAAAACCAAAGTAACTGCGCTGAACCCTCCCAAGTCCCAAACGAATCTTAGAATCTTAGACTTTTATTTCTAAAAAAATCCATAGAAGATTGCTCAAATCATCATAGGCGTTCACACTTTAATAGAGCCCGCCCTCCCAAACGGATCTTGGGCTTTTTTCTAAAGGGAAAACTCCTTATCTGTATCCTATACTTTGGCTTGAATGATAATTTCGTCCCCGAAATTTAAAATGTGATAATTTAATATCTGAACTTTTAAAATGTGGCAATTCAGTACCCGAACTTTTAAAATGTGGCAATCCAGTACCTGTCGCTAATTAGTACGTTAATCAGTCGTTAAGTAATATTTGAAAAGTCAAAAATACCTTAAGAATGCCATCTAATTCTCTTTATCAATCATTCAAACATTGACAATAAAATGAACAGTTTCAAATTCTAGATTCTCCTAAACAATCACTAACTTTTTTGAATAGAAGAGGCTAGGATTTGGGACTGATTAGTTTTTTGTAGACGTTTGAATGGTTGATAAAGAGAATTAGATGTCATTTGAAGGGTATTTTTGACTTTTCAAATGTCACTTAACGGCTGATTAACAGACTGGTTAACGAAAGGTACTGAATTGTCACATTTTAAAAGTTCAGATATTAGATTATGACATTTTCAAAGTTCAGATGCTAGATTGTCGCATTTTAAAGTTCAAAAAACCAAATTGTCTCTTAAGCCAAAATACAATCAGGAATTTTTCCCTTTTCTAGAAAAACCATAAAAGATTGTTCAAGCCATCATGAGGCGTTCACACTGTATTAGAGCCAACACTTGGATACCTTCTACGGTAACTTCCAAGTGAAGTTGACTTGTATATTGGACTTGGTTTACTCAAGTTCCTACTGGTGTGGTTCGTGTGAATGGTGCAGAATTCTACTTGCGACTATTACAAGAGCACTCTTGGCTCCATCAGGAATACGAATGGAATTGACATTGTTGTTTCTACAAAGAAGAAGATAGATCATTCATGGCAAGAACGTCTTTTCTTTTTCCTATGTACTTAAATCGGGTATAGTCAATCCCTCAATTAGGGATGCTACGGGATTCTCTACAAGTTAAAATTCAGTACACACTTTGCGAGAAAGGCATCCAGTTATAGATTGAGAATATTTTCCCATAAATTTGACGTATACGAATGGGAGCTTCAATGGATTCTAATGGATTCTGATGAAGGAGAATTTGGCCCGACCTTCTAAAATCATTTTGGGCTAAGATCGTCCCGGTGTCAGAACCAAGTTTGTTACGGATCAAGCCTAGACAGATGTAACCACTTCGGTCAGGACTACTCCGGGATAAATATACCTAGACACAAGCTCGAGAAGTTCGCTACCAATTAGCTCGCTATCAAGCAGCCCGGTATCCTACAAGCAACTCGCTTACCATTTAGACCTCCGCATGGCAACCTCGAGGAACACACCCCCGTACCCTGGATCCCGCAAGACCGTACTTTGTAATGGTAACATTAGTTCACCAACTCTCCGTTCTGACAGGAAGTGACAATGTTACCGTTTGGCAGCGCTTCAACCACCTAGCACATGACAGGTCCCATCACAGCAGGGACTCAGTGACCGTTCCACCAACCCACCTGGACCACAGTGTATAAAGACCCTGCCCCCCAGGGGCGAAGGTACGTTCTATGATTATTGTTGTGCGTGTAATCTTCACTCTACCTCTCTCACTGTTATCTTCAAGCTCTCTACTACCACTATGTTCTAACTTAGCCATCGGAGTATCCACGTCGGGTGAGCCACCCCGGGATTTCTGACTCGTCTCTTTTAGGAACCCGTTCTCATCGTTGCTGATAGCCAAGTCATATCCAGTAGGGAGTAGCTGGATTACACCACATCAATTGGCGCCATCTGTGGGAAACTCATACAAAAAGCCTTTATATCCCCATTCCAAGAACCTAAAAAAAAAAAAAAAACTCAAAAACTAGACCCATGGCTTCCTCCAGCAACGCCGGACAGCATAGAGAAGCAAACCTCTCTATGTAGGCCAGTTCACCATACTGCTCCCAACGGGTGGAATCCCAACGCCTACCGTACCTCAACCATTTGAGCCTGTAAACGCCCCGCTTCCCCCGGTAGTGGGTCCAACCTCCGCTGAACCAGCCATAGTCCCCCCTGGAGTAGGACAAAACCAGCTAAGCGACCCGGTGTACTGCGTACGGGCTATTCAAGCCCAAATGCAGCAGGTCCAGTAGTTCCAATAGTACCAACCACAAGTTCAGCACCACATGCACTAGTAGCAGTTCCTACCGTTGCAGCAGAACCAGCAACCTACCCCACCTCAGTGTCCAATCACCCCGAGCAAGCCTCGCCACCGAAGCATCCGTCCTAACTAGGAGGAGACCATCTGACAGTGTGGAGGTCAACAACACCACTGCAGAACCAGTCGAGTAGCGGCAAAGGAGGCATACTGGAGCACCTCGGGCGGTAAATCCCGGCCATCTCGCGTGATCCATCCGACCTGAGCAGCCTAAAGGTAAAGTGGAGGTAAGCTCGGGAGTCACAAAAAACCGCTCCCCTCCTTTCTGTACCCTCTCCAATGTCCCCCGAGCTCCTAGCCTCCCCGATGCCGACGAACTTCAGGGTCCCCCCTGGCCTCATCTCGCGGGTCGCGGCAGGAGAGAAAGACAATTCCCTACCACTTCTCAACAAGTAAGCAGGTCGAGAGATACTTGGCCCACTAGAATCAGTCCACCTCGGCCTTCACGACCTGAAGGCACTCATGCAGGAAACCGGTTCAAAGTCCTAGCTAAGGACTCCAGGCAGGGCTTCTTAGTCCATAGTAACCGGCAGTCTGAATCATTCCCGACCAAAGCACCATCTGATAGTGTGGAGGTCAACAACA